TAAAAATACAAAAAAATTAGCCGGGTGTGGTGGCGGGCGCCTGTAGTCCCAGCTTCTTGGGAGGCTGAGGCAGGAGAATGGCGTAAACCCAGGAGGCGGCGGAGCTTGCAGTGAGCCGAGATTGCGCCACTGCACTCCAGCCTGGGCCACAGAGCGACGCTGTCTCAAAAATAAATAAATAAATAAATAAAGGATCATCCACAGATAAATAAATTGAAGGTCAGAGAGATTTAGTGATTGCATGGGGTCACACAGCAGAGCTAGGACTGGACTCAGAAAGACATGGATACACAAGTGCTGGGAGATGTGGGTGGAGTCTAAGGTCTGTGAGTTTACAGCAGGGGTCTCCAACCCAGTTGCGGGACCAGTGCGGGTTTGTGGCCTGTTAGGAATGGGGCTGCACAGCAGGAGGTGAGCAGCAGGCATTACCGTCTAAGCTCTGCCTCTTGTCAGATCAGCAGAGGCATTAGATTCTCATGGGAGCGGGAACCCTATTGTCCCCACATGCAATAGATTGCTGCACTCCTTATGAAAATCTAATGCCTGATGAACTGAGGTGGAACAGTCTCATCCTGAAACCATTCCAGTGGCCCCACTCCAACCCATGGAAAAACTGTCTTCCAGGAAACTGGTCCATGGTGCTAAAAAGATTGGAAACTGCTGGTTTAGAGGGTACCCAGGGGCCTGAAAAATAACCTGGCCCTGCCTCTCTTTGGTTAATGCTTTCTTCCTCTAATAGATTATTCATCACCTCTCAATCCAATGCTTGAGGGGTCAGGGACCTAAAAGACCATCCAGGCCTATTTCCACATGGAGAGAGGGAAGGGACTTGCCCAGTTCCACAGCTGGGCAGCACAGATCTGGATTGGAGCTCAGGTCTCCTAGTCCTGTGCTCCTGCTGCTCCTTCCCCCACTGGGTGAGCAGTTCTGCAGGGGGCTGCCACTCCTATCCACAATCAAACTGCCCGCTCAGTCGGAGCACCTCTCCAGGAGCTGCCCACTGGCTACCCCTGACCCCACTTGGCTGGGGACTTCTGCTACCCCCTCCCTCCTCTCAAGCAGCTGATTGGTCTAAGCAGAGAGGAAACCAGTGCCATTCTGGCTCCCAAATGCTGATGCAAGACCAGCAACTATTTACTACTCGTGTGTGTGTGTGTGTGTGTGTGTGTGTGTGTGTGTATGTGTGGTGTGTGTGTGTATATTTTTTTCTTTTGTTAGAAAAGGGCTAGCGCAGTATATAACAAGTGATTTATGGTGGCGTCTTCCAGTAGATTGATTGTATTTTGTTCCTTCTTTGTATTTATTTATTTATTTATTTATTTATTTATTTATTTTTGAGACGGAGTCTCGCTCTGTCGCCCAGGCTGGAATGCAGTGGCCCCATCTTGGCTCACTGCAAGCTCCGCCTCCCAGATTCACACCATTCTCCTGCCTCAGCCTCCTGAGTAGCTGGGACTACAGGCACCCACCACCACACCCGGCTAATTTTATTTATATATATATATATTTAGTAGAGATGGGGTTTCACCATGTTAGCCAGGATGGTCTCGATCTCCTGACCTCATGATCCACCCACCTTGGCCTCCCAAAGTGCTGG